ATCCTGAGGAGGAGTTTTTTATCGTCATTCTCTGTTATGGCATTATTTTATTATAATTCTTTGACGTGTAAATAGCTTCAAGTGGATCACATAGCAATTTTGTTGTGTTTTGCAATACTTCGAAGCAGTGTGTTGCGGGATCGGGAAATTTTGGGGACCTCGTCCTCGATTCCCCGGAGACTTTTTTCGACCCACCACATTGTCGAGCCCGCAACTGCGAAATTTCGTCTCCGACTTTTTCCATGCTTGCAACACACCACTTCAAAGGATATCTCGTGGTGCACTAGCGGCTTGATTCATCGCCACCCGTTTGGCCGTTCGGGGACATTCACGAGACCAGCTAAAGTTTCCGCAGTAATCAAGCTTGATAATAAGATGTGCTGAACGAATATCGCACAACAAGATTGCATAAGAGTCCTCGGTTGATCATTTTACTTGTCCATACAGCGTCGTTGTGGCCTTTGTAATTATGAGTTCAATGAATTCGGATTTCTTGACGTTTTAACTGATAATAATGACTGTGAGGTTTATTCATGAGCTGCTTGATGGATTGTGGATATATCTGAATGCATGAACTTTGTTCTCTTGCTTGTAAACAGTAATTGTTGATCGATTGTCTGAAGTAAATGTCAGTCACTTCACTTTATCGCTTTCATCATTTCGCCGTTTCGTTGTCAGTCATCCACTGATTGTATTGTGGAGATGCATATTTTGATCTCGAAGAAGAAAAACGCTATCCTTTAGACGAATTCTTCGAACAATTCGTGACCGTTACGTGCTGTATCTTGATTCAAGGATGAAGCCATCGATATTCTCCAGTGGAGTATCTCTTTTGCGATACTATATTAAATATATTATCATTAGCTAGATTCAGTGTCACTTATGGAAATTAACCGATAAAGTTATAGAAGAGCATTGATTGTTGATAAATTTCCGGAATTGTCATTTGTTGTGTTGAAGGAGCACATATATTATCGATCATTTCATTATTAACGAACATAATAATCATTACGAAACTAATGAACAATGCCAATGAACATGAACATAACTGTTACAAAAATAGTTGGTGAAGCAAACGGCATAATATCGGAATATTACCGTCTGAAACGTCTTTGCATGCTATAAGGTCATTCTATCTCCGTGTCCAATTGAAACTTCCTTTTAGTTTTCACGAGTTGGTTACCCGAACAGCATGAATACAGGAAGAGGCTGTTGAAGTAATTGAAAAATTTTCTTTCTTCAGCATTAGTCTACGGTACTATTGTTTGAAGCCGAACAAATTCCGAACAATGCATAGAAGTTCGGAGAAAAAAAACAGATTGTTACATGCGATTGAGTAGGTGTAAGTGGGAAAATGATGCTAGTTGAATTACGAGTAATTCAGGTGCAAAACAATGATAATTTAACATAAAATGGAACAATACGTAATGAAGTAACCGGTAAAATACAAACAACAATTATGAATTCATTATTATTACTGTTATTATTAATGCTATTGGGAAACGATATCACTGAGGTTGTTAAAAGTAATTAAACGTGCATCTAGAAATTGTATCCTCAACATAACAATATGTTGCATAAGCAGAATAGAAAGACTGGTAATAAGGCAATAATGGAATAAGGAACTTAGAGCTTCATTAAGAAAAATTGATCATTTCGCCCAAAAAAATTACTTTTTTCTCATCAGATAACTGCTGGCTAGTAAGCTCGAAAAAAAAAGAACGAACTCTCTTATTCCATTCTGCACTACGCGTTCGTTTTAATAAGGTTTCAAGTTTCGAGTGCTACTCACTTCAAAGCGCTCCACTTCGAAACAGCAGTGAACCAACAACAGTAAGATGAGCGAAAAACTGTTGTACATCGTGAGGATTACATTTCCCGTATCAAAACTTTAAAGCATCAGTTAAAGCCGCTCGAATCAAATCGATTACACCAAATTCTTTGGACCATCATCAGTATTTGGATGCAAATATGTTTGCTGTGCACGGGTACGTCTTCTTTTGAAGTCTGGCATCAGCGTGGCCTCTCGAAAGCCTAAATAAAGCTCATTCTGATGACACCATCTCGACAAGGAATCGTCGAAAGCGTCTTTATTTAGTTGCGATTCCTTTTTGCTGGCATTCGAATGGAAAACAAAGATGACATTTTGCAGTTCTTGATTCAGTTTTGAGTCGAAAAGAAAAACTTCACAAACCTGTACCACTTGACAAACACCCATAAAACGACCACAGTTATAATGAGAAATGCAAAGATCACTGCAGAGAGCAACACAGTAAATCTAGCACCACTAACGCACACTTCGCTGCCGAATGATGATCGTCTCAGCAGCGTTAATGGATCTTCCAATTTACCTGAAAGATAACCGTGTGTGTCCCTTCAACAATTTTGAACTCATCAAACGTTGTTGATACGACACTGCAGTATTCAGCAAATGCTCACAGCCATCTTTTGATTTTGAAAAACATTCTGATTAGTCTGCTTTATGAGCTTACGTAAATCAGAATAATGGGAATGTTTGCGAGCCTAATTGATGTTTGTTCTGAGAATACTATTTTTTTTTNTTTTTTTTTCTTAAACTGAATCCTTTCTTCACAGCAACTCGAGGAAGTCCTGACATTATCTACGATCCTAATATGATGAATTCGGATGTCTATAAAATTCGTCTTCTAGTCATTTTGACTGGTAAGATTGCAGTTCATTAGAAGTGGAATTATTCTGTTTCAATATAAGTACCTGTTGGCTCTTCTTCGGAATCGAGAACATAAACAGACTGTGAAATGAGATCAGTGTCGAGAATCGTCTTCGATTTTGAAGTGTTCGATGAACGAGCAAAACGTCGCTTCATAGTAGGTGCTATTACCTGAAAATGCAATGGATTTAAGAACTTTCCAACTGATACATTATTTTCGAGGTACCAAATATGACTTCTCAGTGCGATACTTCTCAGCACGTTTGGAATAAACCGCTCTGCTCACCTCAGTTGCATTGCTTATGTCCGTGCTGTTCGAATCCATCGATATACCGTCGTTCGATTGTGGATGAAGTCGCGCATTCTTATTCTCTCCACAGTTTGGTGGCTGAATTGATTCTCGATTGGAACAAAAATAATTCACTCAATAATCTTAGTTGTGATCGCTTTCTATTTAACATGAAAGCAACTGATTTTGTTCACGATTAATGATTATTGTTATTGTCATTGTATTCACGGGAAGCACGTTATAAACTGTTATTTAGACTTCGTATACACCTCACATCTCAAATAATAATAATCTGACTATTTTCGATAATTCATCCAATAAAAGCAATATTCTACTTTTCTCGTCTCTCGTCTCATTGCTTAATTCACGTTCTTTTGAAATGAACCAATCAGCTCAACTCCTCGGAGCAGATTGATATATGTGGAAAAGAATTTACCGTAATGCCGTCGCAACCACCACCCTCCTTAAGACAAAGACGAATTTCACATTGGAAGCGCACAACGACACGATCCGCGAATTTGAACACCAACGATTCGCGGTATGCCATATTCATTGCCTCCACGTATGTGGGATCACCAAGAAGAGCACGATCTGTATGACATCTGAACAACAACAATACCTGTTTCGCATGGCTGTTTCGCATAGTTCTCTTCATTTGATTTCTGCCCTCGGTCTTCACCTCC